TAGTGTAAAAACTATTCGGACGTGGAGTCATTACACTTTTTAATTTATCCGTCCATCCATATCCCGCCTATAAACGAACTTGTCATCGAAACGCTGGGTGCAAAATCTCGCACAGGTTTCAGCAGATCAGCCACACATACGATAATTGTAGCAGGGGTATTACTTCTTTCTGTGAAATGACTAGCTGCTCTCATACCGTACCGCTTGGGGTGCTCATCGCTGGCTACGGGCCGTCTCATTCACGCATAAGAATGTGATTAAGCCTGTCCATCGAATGCATCGATTAAAAGATGGGTCTCTCTTTCACATCGTCAATAATGACACCCTCCCTTGGTGAGGACATTTAAGCCGTTACTGTTGCATTAATTAAGTTTTATAGGCACCTTCTATCAACCACCATTCTCTGGCTTTTCGGACACAGAAGGATGAAAAGCTACGTGAAAAAGTGGTTTTCCTAACATGGACCGCTGCCAAGCGATCGGCAAAAATCTTTCATTTATCAAATTTTGTTTACGGGTCAGTGGCCACTGATTCATGACAAAGTACCTTAAAACTGTTTTCAGATCGATCTCATGACAAGTACACTTATACTTGGGTAACTTGTGCATCACTATTTCTGGAATCATACCTCTCAACTCCGTCAAACATTGTAGAGATAATTTGTCTTGAGCGAATTCACACATTTAGGATGTATATCGCTCAGCCCGAGTCTTCTCATCAAGGACACTCTTGTCCATTGATGAGCTGCTGAGTGCCCTTTTTCTCTCAGCAAATTATATTGCCGAATGAAAAACGATCACGTACTTGTCTTTGCTACGAGTATGCAAATCTGTTTGACTTTGCCACTACACAGATCACGCAAGAGCCTCTTCTGTTTAATCGCTGCATTTTAGTGATCTCTCGAAGTAGTCTTTGAAAGAGCTATCAAAACAATCTGGTAAGTACCTGTACTTAATATGTCACCAAACAGGACGTTAAATGACTCTGTTATCTCCTGAGACCTTATTTACACAGTTAAATGGGTAATTCCTCACTAGCCTCTTGGGCTAACCATCACATGCACGAGTGGAATTGCTCTCTCTGGTGCTGGTTGCTCTACCGCGGTCAGGTCTTCTACGTGCGATTCTTCAATCGCACTTCTTACAATGTATTGTCGATTATTAAAAATTGGCTCGTCAGCACTTGGGTGTTGACCGTTTAGAGGACACCCATGCCCCATTCCACTCGACTAATTCGGGTGGTGGCCATAGGCGCGATCTTCGACACCATGCAGTCGCCAAAATCTGGATCCGTTGTGTGAAATAAACCATACCATGGCCATGTGCAGTCGTACTGATGACCAAACCACACGCGAGGACATATCACTAATCGTAGTACGCCTAAATGTTAGCGAACGCTCTATGAAGTTCATTGGATGGTTATCTAGTGAAAAATGACAGGCACATTGACTATTCGTCGATGCCAGCTGACTTGTGGCTCGAACCTTCTGAGCCACGGTAATCCACGAGTAACTGGAAATTTGCCATCCAAGTTCAAAATGAGGAAGTCATCATCTTATTGATCGGCCTTAGGCATATAAGTTAAACTTACTGGACAATCATTCACTGACGGATGCACCTTTTGCGAGGTGCACCGTCATCCTCGTTGGAGGGATCTCGCGCTCGATACATTCTAGCTCGCTATTGTCTAGAGAATAGTGTACACAGTTGCTCAACGCCCTACAATCGACTAGGGCTCAAAACGACATGTTTCTTGTCACTTTAGCCGTTAACGGTGATGATATTTCCTACGTTACCAGAAGCAGCAACACAAAATGATCGAGCGTTTAAAAACTTTCGTCAAGAGGCCTGCAAACTCACTTGACACCGCTGTATCAGTAGGCTGCTCTGGACCTAATTATCCTGACGGTTTTTCGGCTACCCGTTACGTTGTTCCGTCTTTGCAACAACTTCGAACCCACGCCGTGGGCCACGCTTGACCACTTATCTGTTATTTTTTCCTGCGGTACGTGGTACCGCGTTCGGGGTACTGCATTCGTACCCATAAATTCCCTGTCTTTTGCCATCTATTACACGTTTGAAAATTTCTTGTAGTTTTTTATACGAGAGCTCTCGCTTCTCGCATGTCATTCTGAGTTTTTATTTGCCTGTCGTCTCGACGGACGATAGTAACTTAAATTCACGTGAGCCGGTTTCATGCGGATGTTCCCTGTTCCGCAACCCATATGGCCTCTTACAGGGTGTTCGATTCCAACCAGAACAGATTAGTTTTAACGGCGCCACCAGTGAGACCCTGTATGAACAACAAATTTAATGCTTTTTGGTTCAGTGAAACGACGGTTATGCAGCTGTTGAAATGACGTATTTACCAGACGTACTAGTGTACGTCACGTTTACTTTTCTTGATTCTCAGGATTTCAGAGCGAGTACTAAACTCTGCTCCTGGTGCCTCAAACGTTTTACCCCAGCAGAACTTGAAGACTTTCAACGACCCAAAGACATATGGGTCGTGTAATCTAAGGTCCAAGGCCCACGTCTTTGCACGCCCTGCCAAGTTCGATTGACCAAATACGATCTGCATCGATCATCAATGATGTAGCAAGCCTTTATGGAATCGTTCAGTTCCACAAACTATCGCAACAGAGAGTTTTTATCGTCTTCCTTGTACGCTGAGATTTCAATCCTTAAAGTCTCAGGTCAGATTGGTTACGTTGACCCGCTAAGCATGTCCTGCTGCTGTCTAAATCTTCACACTGTTGAGAACTATGTTTTCTTAACAGCTTCGTCTGTTAAAGTCTTGCTGGTGAAGCAAGGTTACCTTTTTCCGCTCGACGTCAAGTTCATTCTGAAAAAACTTGGTGATAGTGGCGTGCTGTTCGTCAGGCCACAGGGCGTATAGCATTGAACCAACGGCTTCTTGTTCTATCATCAAACTTAATCTTTCGACGACTTTACGTTCAACCGTATGTAAATGGGAGTAGCTCCTTTGCGTGGGATGTAAATTATCTTCCTCCTCGTCCAACATATTCATAATCTTTGAACGGACCACGAAGTGCTATCAGGTGTAGCGATGCAAACTTTATTCAGTTGGCTTAGAGCCTTGAAAGGCTGACAGTACAAGGTTGTGTGCGTCGGACTACCTCACGTACACTTACGTGCGGAGAAAGATCGTTATACGGAGTAAGCGTACTAAGTAAAGGTAAAAAGTAGAACTTTGTCTAGTATAATTAATTCGATAAGCAAATGCCTGTTTGAATTCATTTAACTCTGTCGAAATACAAACATATATTGTAACTATCGGCCCACAACGCATTGCGTGCTTCTGTCGTGGCTGGACTTTATTGGTTGACATCTCGGTCTTAAATCAACCTACGAGCAATTCATTACATCTTGCAGACAATATTACCCATTAGGATAATTTTGTGAGAATATCATGAGAACGTGATAGAGGAGCAAGCTTTGGAGCTTACCCTTGATACAAGTAATATAGTTCAAAGGACTGAATCAAGTTGCAAAACGAAATGAAATAGCAGTCAACACAGAATGAGTACGATGCTATATGTCTGTACTTTACGCGTACATTATGCTAGAACTACGCAATCAGGCTTTCCTTATGAATGTACAGCATTCCCTCAAGTGAACATACTCACCTTCGATCGTTTTTATGCCAATCACAAGGCAGCATCACGCTAGTGACATAATCAAAGGTTGACTTTTAAGATAAATGTATACGCATAAGTTGTGTACAGGCTTGATCACATTTTATGCGGGTAAGGTACACCTAACTGCGTTATTTTCAGATACACGCAGATAAGTACGATTAAAAAGTTCAGCATTCAACATTGGCACAGTCATTAATAGCTTCACCCATCTGGCTTGCGATTATGCTTGTCCCAACATAATATTCATGCCGTAATAATTACCATATGTAAATTATCTTTTGATAAGGCAGTCCATTACGATAAGCCAATTGCGTGTCATCGCCTACGATGCACAATTTTTAAAGGACGGCAACAACGGTGAGGGCAGAGCTTTGTTCATCGGGATGTAATTTAATGACTTAGCTCTTCCGTTTTGTGCAAGTAGCTACCTTTGTTGTAACTACAGCTTGATTGCTCAACATGCAGCTGACAAGACAAACGGTGAGCATATAGCGAGCTCACCGGCGATCAAGTAAAGTTTTTTGGGCTGGTGTGATGATTGCGGCCATCATGGTCAAAGATGCCTGTAAGAGCTACCGTGCATGTAGCTACAAGTTAAAGTTGACATGTACAGCGAAATGCTATCTGATGATACGACATTGATCTATAATAACGCTGAGCAAGGGGGTACCCTCTGTTAATGCAGCTGTACGCGTTAACTTTAATTTGACTGTCTGCACTGGTACGTACGTGATGTGAAAAACTACTCTTGTGGTCGAGAGTAGTAGTTCACATCACGTACGTACCAGTGAGAGTACAATAACGAGATTCTTCATCGGTCAGTTTTAAACTGCTTCTGAATGTACAAGACAACAACGACAGCTACTATGTCGACAATGAAGATCTCAGGAGCCTCTGACAACAAGTGATAATTTATGTTTGATCGCCGCAATGCAAAGCCTCTTTTTCGTACGAGAACGCGGATTGCCGAACCTGGCAAATAGGCTCCATGAGCATGAAAAATAAAGCGCGGCAAACACGTTCAAAATGGTTCGAACATGATGAATTTACTAAATTATTATCATATCACTCATTCACAGCCGCGCCGTTGACGTGATGCCTTCACCAGTAGATTACGAGACAATGGCTTTTTACCACCACTGTCCTCAGTAATGTGGCAAAGAGGTTTATTACAGTGATAGCGTGCATGGCATTCTCAATGAACTTAACGCATGCTTCTTGGTCGAAGCAAAAACAGACTCACCTTCCTTGCCCTTACTCGCACTAGCAACGCGTCTATATACCGTCGGCCCTTGAACTTCGACCGGCACCCAGTGCTCTGGACACGAACAGTCCAAGCTCAATACTTCCTTGACGATTTTGCCTTGTACCTGGACTGTGTTTCCCGTTTGTACCTGTCTCCAATCTCGTTCGGGTGCTCAACAAGCTGTTCTCCATCCTCTTTTCGTAGCATCGTACGTTCACGTTCCGGCATCGCCTGTGGTTTCGAAATTGTTGATATTTCAGTCGGCCAGAATCGCGCCAGCAGATCTTTTACCAATTTACCGCCTTGTTTACCAAGAGCACTTCGGGACAGGAAGGAGCGCACATCCAGAAGCCCGTATCGCTTCCCCAGCAACTGGAACAGTGCTTCGGTATCCTTCTTCTCCAAGGCTTTGATATCATCCATCAGTTTCTTCGTAACATTGTCCGGTCCTGCGTTGCCCCGCTCCTTCCTATGATACGCCAGCAAAGATCTTTTATTGCTCAGAGGGTGGTTCAAGTGCTTGAAGTAACGTGCTAGTAACTCCACTGTATCGAGCTTAAGCTGCAGATCTTGAACAATCTGCTCCGGAGATATCTTGTAAGCCTCCAAGTTTTTGAACATGAGGGAGAGTTCGACTTGAGGAAAAAGACCCTTCATTTGTACCAGGTTCGCAGCTCGATCCACCCAATTTTTGTGACCGGAACCAGCTAGTTGCTTTGAGATTTCCTTGCTGGAAGAGTCTGCAACAGATTTTTGAGGCGCCGCAGCAACTGTAATCTTCTCCTGTTTCTTAACAGGTTCAGTACGCAGCCTTTGTAGCACCGGTTCCATCTCCTTAAAGGCTGTGTTCACGAATGGTACAAGAACCCCATCCGCTATTGATACGGGAAGCTCGTACATCCTCTCTTCACCGGTATCCATTTTGGCAGGCCTCGACCTCCTCTCAGCGAGGGCGTCGTCGTCTGTAGCGGCAGTCAGGACCGGACGTAAGTCAGCGACAGCTTCTGACACGACTGGTGTACTCTTGGCGCACGCAAGGATGGCGGTGATGGAAGCGATATCGAAGATGTACACTTGCATAGGAGGAAGGAGGAGTTGGTACGTTGAGGCGGGAAAACTGTGAAATGGTGGCTCTCACGTCCAGTCAAACCTGATAGGAGGCCGGCGATGAGGCAAGGTTCGAAGGCATTTGGATAGTCGGACCCTAAAACGTAATTAACAACATAACCGGCTTTTACAGCGGTACACAAAGAACTTTTCGATCGCTAGTACTAGATCACGAAAAGAGGCCGCTGCTTCATGACGCATTATATTTTTAAAAGGAACAGACCGTCTATTCACAAACATTAAGTTGTGCAAGATGTAACGGGGCACCCTGAAGCTTGTACTGGTGACAGTACAAGCTACTTATTCTGATAACAGAATAAGGCGGTGCCTCGTAACTTCACGTACACTCGTACGTGCAGAGGAAGACGGTAAGAAGAAGCGAGTACTTGGTTAGAGTAAAAAGTAGAACTGTATTTATAATAGTTAATGTCTGCAATAAATCACTATTTATCTTCATCTAACTATGTCTAAATACAAATGTGTAAATCAGTTATCTGCTCACCACTCATTGCGTGCGTCTGTCGTGGCGCGTCTTCGTTGGTTGATATAATGGCCTATATCAACCAATTAGGAACTACTTGTAAGTGCTACAGAATATTTGTCCTTATGACAATATTCTGTGAATATAACTCTTATAGTTATATTCTATTAACAATTTCTTATAAATTGTTATGTAACGATTCACCCCGTTACATCACCCCCCTTAACCATCAGTCACTTTAGTGACTGATTGACTAAATGGATACTCGTCCCAAATCATTTGGGACGGGGTTTGCACTTGTTGGTCCGCGTCCACTTTCCAACATCTCATCGCATGGTAAACAAGCCCATGCGATGCGCGAGCAAGGCCGCCGAGAGCGCGTCTGCACGTCTCTGTGCGGACGCCGAAGCAGAAACTACAGCAACTGATGACTCTTCGGTTGCTGAATTGACTCAGCCTGTATCACCTGGTGATGCAGGCGCTGGTCATGAAGACACTCGTGTCTTCACAGAGTACGAGCTCGGTGTCTCGTACTCTCCTGATACGGATGACGGATCCGTATCGACGGCAATTGAATCCAAGCCGCCTGCCAAGCGTGGCATGGACGATGCTTTGCGTCGCAGCATCTTTGGTTCATCTGATGAGTCAGATGAACCATCGCCGAAGCGAAGGCGCTCGAGGTCGCGAGACTCGGGCGCTAATAGTGGTGTCGTTTCTCCAATGGACACCACTTCACAGCGAGGTGCCAGTACTTCTGTCGGCACGTCGCAGGAAGAGCGGGACCGCAATGTGTTGCGTCTCGCTCCAGAAAAGAAGGCATGGATGCCTCCTAAATCTGTCATGGATCACTTGTCGGCGACGACGAGTGATCGTTATCGAACACGATTGTTCGATTCGTCGAGGATTCATCACCTTGACCCCAGCGCGAAAGACTATCGCGCTGAACATGAGTTCTTCATCGATGCTTTCTTCAGACATCGATGGTACAGTGGGAATCACAAACGTGATGGTCCCTCACTACTTCAGGCGTGGAACGCCTACATCCATAATCTCGAGGATGTAGGTCGTGACGCTTGGAACGACAAACTTATCAAAGCTCGTGATAAGTTTGAAAAGCGAACCCCGACAGGTGCACGCTATAAGCTGCATCGTCTGTCAAGGGAGAAAGGATTACCCTGCCTCTCTTGGGGAGACTCGTGCCCATGTTGTGTGAACAACTCTGCACGAGCACCTAAGGAGGCTTACCTCCTTACCAGCCCGTGGTGGCGCGTACGTGTCTCTACTGAGATGTACGAAGGGATTGACAACCTGAAATCCCTTTACGACCGTGCCGGGAAGACTTTCTCCGGCGGTCCTTCTGCGGCACAGGATGTGTCGCGTCGTACTGCTCGACCAGACCAAGTACGTCAACCATCAATTGGGAGCGGGGCTCCCAAGAATCCCAGGACGGGGGATAGCCGCGCCACCGGACGAGGTAACTCGTCCGACGTCCGTTCACGTCGCGGTGGTTCAACAGCTGCTCAACTAGATAGCGCTGGCCACCGCGAGAGTCCTCTAATGGAGGTGGAGGAGGAGGAAAGACGCTCTCCACACGATCATGTGGATCGGTGTGTTCCCGAGAGCTTCTTTGATCGCGTAACGCAAGGGTTACGCGACGATCTCGAGCATGAGCGGAATAGGCGTCTCCAGATGGTGGACACTGCCTCGAAGCATCGAGCTGAGTTTGCCTTTGCTCAGCTTGAGAACGAGAGATCTCTGACATCTCTTCGTGACGAGCTAAGGGTAGCTCGTGGGATTGTTGATCGGTCTCGGGCTGAGATAACTGCTCTTCAGACCCTTGTTGATGCCCACCATCGGGAGCACAAGGCTCTCTGCGAGATGCTTGAGCGCAAGGGCGTTCTTCATCGGAAGAAGCAGCGTACTGATGGTACGGCTTAAGCCGACCAACGTAAAACGTGGGATGCGTTCGCATCTTACGTGGTAACTCGATCGTGTATGCATTGCCTAGGCGGTGCAATACACGAAATGGGCCAATGTACTTGGGTAGTAGTTTACTGCTACCCAAGTTAGTCACTACATGTTTTGGTAGATTAACCGTAGACAGTAGGACTAAGTCACCTTTATTAAATAAAAGAGTGTTTGCCCTTCCATTCTTGTCAGCGTTTTGCTTTTGCTTATCCACCGCTTCGGCGATGGAGTCTTGCACAAAACGGACCACCGTTTCACGAGCCAGTATGAACTCATCTGATGACTCGTTAGCTTCAGTGCGCTGTGAGCGCACTGCAGCAACAACAACCTTTTCTTCAGTGAGGGCTTCCGCACTCTCACTGGGATCATCTTCTTCAGTGAGGGCTTCCGCACTCTCACTGGCATCATCTTCTTCGATATTGATGTTATCTATATCGGCATCAAACGCAATGACTTCTTCGTCAGAGCGTGATGAGCGTGAACCAAATCGGTTTTTGCTCGCGCGAGTCCCTCCCCCCCTTAAACCAGAGTTACACTCTAGTAAGGTGGGTACACGCGGATGGCGCAAGCCATTCACGTAAAACGGTGTATGTGTCGTGGACGCATGCACCGAGTTGTTGATGGCAAACTCTACCATCGGCAAAAACTCACTCCAACTCTTAAAGGAGTGTACGTATCCTCGAAGTATCTCTTCAAGGACACGATTGGCACGTTCCGTCTGACCATCTGACTCTGGATGATCAGATGTTGACATCTTCAAGCGCGTTCCGAGTGATTTGAACACGGAACGCCAGAAATCAGCAGTGAATCGTGGATCTCTGTCTGATACGAGTTCACGGGGCAACCCATGAAGTCGGAAGATGGTGTCAATAAAGACACAAGCACAGCCACTTGCCGTGATTGTCTCTGGTACAGCCACAAGGTGTACCATTTTGCTGAATCTGTCAACAAATACGAGAATACCCGTATTCCCGCGTGCGTCTTTGGGTAACCCGAAGACGAAATCCATTGAGATGGATTCCCAGCACTCAGCCGGAACCGGTAGAGGCTGTAAAGGTGCACGCAGTGAAGGACTTGACTTCACTCGTTGGCAGACTTCGCATGCGCGAACATACTTTCGCACAAACTGATACTGGCGGGGCCAGTAAAAGTCTCGACTTACCGTGAGATATGTTTTCTCTCGGCCACGATGTCCTCCTATAGGAGCATCGTGATACTCGAACATGATCCGCAAACGCAGATCAGTATCATCTGGAATGACAACACGTGGTGTGTCACCAGAAACGGCTGTATAGTACAGTAAACCGTTACGAGTAGTGTATCGATCTGATGCAGATCGATACGCAGACGACAATCGTTTCAACGATTCTCGAGATGGTTGGGAGAGATGTGACAACAACTTCACTATCTCACCATCTTGGGCGTATGCCCGCCTCACATCATCATACAACGTTGTAGATGGAACTGAGGACGTCATAACCGCAACAGTGACTGTCTCACTGTTGGGTTTCGCGACTGTTTCAAAGTCGGGACGACGTGAGAGTGCATCAGCGACGACATTAAGTCGTCCTGGTTTGTACTCGACCGTAAAGTTGTATTCTGCAAAGAATGACAACCACCGCGCCATTCGTTGTGAAAGGTGCGGGCTGTTCACTGCCGTGCGTAAGGACGCATGGTCAGTGTAAACAACGAAGGGTCTATCTCCTAATAGATAGACTCTGAACTTCGCGAGTGCATACTTCATGGCAAGGAGTTCCTTGTCATGCACTGGATAGTTCCGCTCAGCTGGTTGCAGCTGACGCGACTGATAGCAGACGACGCGTTCAACGCCTTCAAGGTCGTACTGCATTAATGCACAGCCGATTGCGAAATCGCTGGCATCACAGACCACATGAAATGGCCTGTCCTGATCGGCTATTGCTAGGACTGGGGATTGTATCAAGCTCTGCTTGATACCCTCAAAGGAGCGTTGACATTCAGCGTTCCATAACCACCTCTCGTTCTTTTTCAACAAACGAGAGAGGTGTACAGTCATCTCGGCGTAATTGCGTGAATACTTATGCAAATACGCCGCTAGCCCAAGGAATTTTCGAAGACCTTTGACATCGACCGGCACGGGCCAGTCGGTGATCGCCTTGATCTTTTCGGGATCAGGACATACACCGTTCTTACCAACGATGCACCCAAGAAGTGGTATTTCGCTTGCTGCAAAAATACACTTCTTGAGGTTTGCATACAATTGATGCTTTCGCATGATTGTAAGAACTTGTCGGACGTGGTACTTGTGAACCTCAACGTCCGACTTTCCATCCATAGCTCGACTATGGATGAATACGTCATCGAAATAACTCGGCGCGAATTCTCGTACTGGCCTCAACAGATGTGATACACACCTGTTGAACGTGGCAGGGGCATTACTGAGCCCTTGTGGCATTACTAGCCATTCCCAGAGCATGCCGCTAGGCGTGCTAACTGCTGTGTAGGGGATGTCCCGTTCTCGCATAAGGATTTGATAGAAGCCATC